GTAGGGGTTTGAATGCTGTTTTTGATTTATTTGACTTTTTCAATTTCGTTATCCATTTTTGGATATGATCGGCAAAGTTTCGTTCATTCATATGTAAAGTCAAAAACAATATTTATAATCCACTTTTTTTCCTTAAGTAAACTTGCAAAGCAGATAAAAATACGCTTATATTATGATTTTAAAGTTTTTATTAATCTTTCTTTATAAAAAATTAATCTAATTAAAATTACACCGAATCACGTGATTTGCTCCCGCTTTAGACGACCTCTATAAAAGGAAATTTTATGTTACATTGTTATGATTTTTTTCCTTTTTAGCTAATTAACCAATAGAATTTAAGAAAAAAGTAAAGTAAAAACTATTAGTAAAGGGTCAATTTTTTACGGTAACCTTTATTATAAGTAAGCAGAGTCCTTTTCCAGTATCTATTATGAACTTTTTAAATTAATTCAGCCATGATAAGTCTTTAATTTTCAATTTCTTTTTGTTGTTTTATTTGTACAAATTATAGTTTTAAGTAAAATTATTTTTCAAAATCTGAAATATTTCATCACAAATTTCTTTCTATATAACCAAAACTATCCAAAATTTCTGAAATCCAAATTTGGATTCTTTTTTGTAAATCATTTAGGTGAAACCAATTTTGCCCAGAACACTAATACAAATATTATTACTAATTTACAACTTTCATATATTTCAAAGCCATTTTTTTCAAATATTTCCTAAAACATTTTCCATATATTAGTGGTTAATAATTTTGTGTTTTCATATATATGTTCATGGAAGATATACTTGTATAGAAGTAAGTATCTATTTCAGAATAAATAGCGAAGTTAAACCTATACACCTTTTCCTTTTTCAAACCTATTTATTATAGTACAAGCTTCTTTAATAATTAAACATTGAAGTAGAAAGAGAAACTTGTGGATTTCTTCAATAATATTGTCTTCTATACTATAAGCGGATATTTTTTTGTATGAAAGTCATATGTAACTTTTTCTGAATCAGAATGCTTTTTAAAGTCATATTAATAATATTTTAAACAGCACCTAAAATAAAGAAAATAGATAAATGAATAGACAAACAGATAATAATTGTAAATAAATAGGTAGCTAAAAAGCAAATAGATGAATAAATCAGATGAATTAAAATGAAAATAAAAAATGAGATAGAAAAAAATTTAAATAATGAAAAAAAGTTATGAAAAAATGAAGGATATATTAATTAAACCATATTTTAAAGATGTTAAAATTTTTATTTCGTTGTGATAAGACTTTAGAGAATTTATGAAGGTAACTTGCAAAAGTAAAGAATGAGTCTACAACACCTACTGTTTTGTATTTTTCATGTAATTTCTTTTAATATAATTTTGAATGGAAGTTGCTTTTTAAACAAGTTTTTCACATCTGATTTTTGTTTTTTTGTGTATTGCAGTAACTATAATATCATGAGTTTTTTTATTATAAATCTTTGATATCTATAATTTCATAATATGCATAACACAAAGAATTACATTACATTCTTGTTCATTATCATTTATACTAGAAAAACTTTTTTAATACTCTTGACTTCTATGCTACTTTGATTAGAAAAAACATATTGAAGGGACTAGTAGCAATAATTATCCTAAATTATTTTTAATACTTGTAAGATGATTTCACAGTTTTTACTACTTACAAAAAAATGAGTATTATATCCCAATATTTATAATTATCATAGATATACAAAATGAATAAACACCAGTCATATCTGTTAGTTTTGTGAGTCAAGTTTATGAGGTTTAATCATTTATAATGTTTAAGTTTTTTTAATTGATCTGGATATATAAATATGATTTGTTTAAAGAATTAATGAATGCTATATCTTTTAATTTTATATTCCTAGCTTTTTCTTGGCATTTTAACTTATTAACATTTGTATTAAAGTCCAATTCTTTTATTGCATATTCTTTGATAGCTGAAGTAATTACAGGTGGTGTATAATTTTTGATCAGTTGCTTTCTTTTTCATTAAGGTTTGAATTGCTTGAGGACGTTTGATCTTATCACATTTCAACAATAAATATTTATAGTTTAGAGAATTTTTGTAATATTTATTTAACTATTTTCAATAAAGTAACTATAAAACTTTAATTTTAGCATAACATAAATCAGATGATCATTTTTTTATTATTCAGTATTTATCACTTAAAACATTTTTCCTTTTGTTATGTATTTGATTTCTAGAACTTCATAAGACGACATGCAAAAACTTTTTAAATATCACTATTTACATGTTAATGCAGGACCGGAAAAACTTATAATAAAGGTCACCGGACAATAGTAAAATGATGGTTTTGCCCAAATTAATAAAAATTTTTCTTAAGTAATTAAACTAATAATCTAACAAATCTTATACAGAAATGTCTGAAAAATAAAATGAATCATAAATTATTCTTTTAATATCAATATTAACTGAGATCATTAAATTTTCCGAAAAAAAATTTATAGTAACGTGAACTACTTTTTAAAAAATTTATTAATTATGCGATCGAACCACCTTTTTGCATTACACAGAGTATATAAAAATCTAAGTTGAGTGTATAAATCATGCATTTAACTCTAAACTTAAACAGATAAGTTTAATCCACACATTTTGGCTTCATTAAAAATTGTATATATAAAAAATTCAATGGACTTTACTAGTGTGCCGGGTACTACGGTAACCTCCATTATAGGTTTTTCCGGTCCTGTTAATGCTTAATATAAAGTCCACTTTATCCAGATATTTGTAACTAATGGCTACCAATTTTCATTGAACTAAATTATCTATTGGAATTTCTAAAAAACAATCTACATTAAAGAGAAGATTTCGTATTTTGCTTGATATAAAATTTTCTGATAATATACCAACTAAAAGGAACAAAGCAGCCATATTCAAAATAGTGGCAGGAGATAAAGTAGTTATATTAAAGACAATAATTTTACTTAGGAAAAAAAATCAGAAAAAAACATTATTATTTAAGCTGAAAAAACACTTTTATTAAAACTTTAAGTAAAATAAATATTTGTAAAGTAGAATAAGAAATTGGATAAAAAAAAATTGAAAACATTTTACTGAAAGACTAATAATAATAAAACTATAAAAGTACTGATTTTTTTGTTAAAAAAATTAATCTTAACAAAATGTATTTTTTTAAAAAAAAACTAATATTCAGATTTTATAAAGTCATGTAAAAATGTTTTACAGTCAACTCCCTTTATAGTTACTCTTATTATAATCACATTCTACTATATAGTTACACCAGTTAGATGTTCAAAATATTTTATTATTAAAATCTATTATATATAGTCACAATCTATCTATAGTCACTATCACACCTATTTTTGAAAATCTCATATTAAAAAATACTGTTTATACTTTATAGTTATAATTATGTAAAGAATATAATAAATTGCTCAACATCTAATAATTGTAGAAAGATATAATACAGCTTGTTAGAATCATCTTATTGGATAAATTGAATGGTGGTAGTTTCATTTTTTTTATAATTGCTAGTTGATGAGATATTTAACAAAATGTAAAAAATTAGTATTTTAATATTTCTTGATTTATGTTTACTGCGCCACTAGACTATACATGCTGTCCAAATTATTTTGGGATGCCATAATTATAATTTGGGATGCCATAATTCATTCTTTTTATATATAATTTACTATTTAAAGTGCCAAAATAATTTGGGATGCCATAATTGAATTTGGGATTTTACTTATAATTACGGCAGTCCAAAATAATTTGGGTGGCATGTATACACTAGACAATTTGCTTAATTTCTTAGCATCTAGTAATTGTAAAAATGTGGTTAATAGCTCATTAGAATCATCTAATCAAGACAAGTTGAATGGCAATAAAATCATTATTCTAGATGTAATAGATCAAGAATTATACAAAAAAATATTAAAATTAAAAAATTATAATAAAAATGGATAAATACAGTCAACTCTTGTTATAACAAACCCTAGATTCTAGACCTCAACTTCGCTATAAGGCTATAGTGAAGATTTTAAGAGATTTAATTGGTTAATTTATTATAACAAGGGAAATTTATTATAGTTATCTGAAAAATTCATTATATCAAAAGTTCGCTATATCAAGGTTTGACTGTAAAAAATTGAAATTAATTAAGTTAATCTTTATACTAATCTTAATAAATAGACTTGATTACTAAAATAATTTTACTAGAATTATGTAAGATTCAAACTTATAATGCCATTTAAAATTTATTTGCTTTAATTTATGAATTTAAAGTAGTTAAATTAAAAGATAAAAATTGATACATTATTTATTTTTTAATATTTATCTATATTTTAAAGACAATATTTTTAATATTCATATATATGACAAATTAGTAATTAAAAAAGAAAAAGAAAAAGCAAATAAAAAACTTATAAAATACATTAAAAAGAAAATATTCAGTTCATAAAAAAAAGACATTATAATTATAAAGAATTTTATTTATATAAAATAATGGAAATTCTAACATTACAAACATTACAGCAAAGTCAGAAAAATTTCAAAAGTTTTAACATTTGGCATTAAAAGTGAAAGTTGAAACTTTCCAAACAATAAGATTACAAAAAGACTTTAAGATATCTTTTGTTAAGACATAGATACTTATAGTTAATATTTTAATTCAATTCATTCTAGCATTTAAAGAATTAATATAAAAACCAAGATATGAATAAATTATTTTATAGAAAAAATTTAAACAGATAAAATTACTTTAAAATTCAAAGTAAAGAAGAATTCAAATCAACTTTCAGAATTCAAAGTAAGGGACAATTCAAATCAACTTTCAAATAAAGTTAAAGATTTACAAACAGAAAAAGTAAATTAAATAGTCTCTTTAGTAAAGAAATCAATGGACACCTTTATAAGAAAATACATATGTAAGAATTGGATTTCAATAAAAAAGAAAGTTAATAAGGTTAATATGTTATAAATAAGGTGTTTACTGAAACTTATCTGATCCAATACGAAATGCAACTCTTATATAGTGGCGAAATGCCAAAATGCCAAAATGCTAAAATGCTGAAACCTGCCAAAATTGCGAAACTGCTGAAACTTGCAAAGCTGCGAAACCTTATTTATCTATAGTTTCGGCAGAATAAATAGTAATATTTTATATTATAGTTTTAGCATTCCTTATGTTTTCATTTATACATTTACTAAGGTTGCTTGCCGAAACCTAGGGGTTTAGGCAAGATGGCGTTTCGCCGAAAAGCGAAATTCTGCCGAAACTATATTAAAGTTATATTAAAAAACTGGCGAAACTTTGGAGAAAGGCGAAACTGCCGAAACTTATTATAAATGCTGAAACTGCCGAAACTCTGCCGAAACTATAATAAATCTATAGTAAAATTTTGATGAAACTAATCGTAGGATTTTGAAAAGGTTTAGACAAGCAACCTTAACATTTACACGTAATTAAAAAATATTGATATATATATGTATATCAAATGATATACTACACTGAAATGCTGAAACAATTTTGGCAATTTTGGCAGTTTTGGCATTTCAGCATTTTATGGCAATTTTGTGAAACTAGTTTTGGCAGTTTCGCATACGTCATCCTACCAGTTTTGACAAGTAATTTTAGTTATACATAAGCAAAAAATTACTGGATTGATAGTTCTAAAAATAATGTTTTTATTCTGTTCTCAATTATATTTATTTTTATTTATAATTTTAGATATATTATTTACTATTAATTTAATTATTATTGTTATTTTTATTTTTATTTTTATTTTTCTTTTAATTTTTTTTATAGTATATTATTTTAATTTGCTTTTTATTTACTTTTATTTAATATCTAATGTTAGATCAGACTGGCCTGAAGCTGAAAGTATTATTCATAAAATATTTTGTGATTATTATGCAATCCAAATATATTTTAATAAAATGGTACATTATTTAATATTAAAAAAAAAAAAATAATAGAAATTCTTGGTCATTTCATTAATAAATTTACTAAGCAAAGTAATAAGATTAATAAATAACTTTTAAATTATTCTTTATTTGTAGTACTTTATTATTAAATCCTTTATAAACTTTATGTTGATAATACAGTCAATTCTCTTTATAGTTACATATTTGGAACAGCCTATATTTGGTGATTATAAAGAAATGTGATTATATAAAAAATTTCTTATATTTATATATCATAATTCTGCCCTATAAAAAGTCTACATCCTTAAACTGTACTAGTTTTATGGTTAAAATATCCTTATATAGTAATAATATTCTTAAAATATACTGAAATTTGTACAAACAGTATATTTAAAATAGTGTTCTATAATAATAAATAAGTTTAAATTATACTAAAAATATACTTAATTTTTAAATGTAATATTGACTGGTATTTTAAAATATTCTGATTAGATATGGAAAATATCCTTAAAAGTAATTTATCAGTAATTTAGGTATGTTAATATAATATTCTTAAAATATACTGAAATTGTACAAATGGATATTTAAAATAGTGTTTCTAATTGTAATATTTTAAAATATTCTGGGAAGGACTATATACTATTCGTATCGGTTTCACAAATGACCTGGTATGTGATGATGTGTCCTTAAAATATTCTGATCGAGTACATGAATATTTCTATCGGCAAAAAATTAAATAAAATAACGTAATTAGATTATTTAATTTTATAAACTAAATTTCTTTCTTTCTTTAAAAGACACGAATTATTTTTTGAAAAAAGATGTCAAAAACTAAAGACAAATGCAAGAATTGTGCAGGTAAAAAATGAGAACAAAAAAAAACAAAAAATAAAATGTGTGGCAATATAAATCGAATTTTATATCAATTTTTTTGAATCAATATTTCATAATTATAGATTTCGATGCCAAGTTAGAGTTCATTATTTTCATTATTTTTATTTTGTTTTTTATTAGTGCATTATTACTAAAAGTTTCAGAAACAATGCCACCGGGAGAACCAGGAGGACCATCACCACCAGTAATACTAGGAGGAATTATTAGGACAAATGGTTCTGGATTATCTTTAAAAATATCGATCTTTCTAATCTTAATAGCACGGTTGGTAAAGTCTTTCTGAAAATTATGATAGTCAAGGTTAGTTTTAAATTACTATGATTTTATATTTAATATATAGGCGAACACGGTATAGCAGTAATATTGAGATTTTGTTATGTATAATTATTATAAAGTTATTAATCCAATTTTCATATTTATATTATAAGCATCGCG